CTGTGTACAGAATTATTCTTGGGATGATGCCAGTGATTTAATTAAAAGACGCGTTCTGCTTTGAAAAGTGTTTCTTTGATCATCCTTAATTAATTAAAACCACCAACAAAGCTTAATTTTAAAAAAAAAATCATGATTCAATAGTCTGGAAGGAATCAGTTCCTCTTTTTCCAGTAGCTGTACAGTGCTAAGAAACAGAAGGAAAAACATGGATGACTACCAGGCTGTTAATTCTCAGTTAAAAGAACTACCAACAGCAGCTGGACAGTGGTGTGTCAAACAATGCTGTCATGCCTGTTCTCAAAATATTGTACAGGTCTTTGAATAGGAAACTTCCACTGGGCTAGACGGAAATTATTAAATTCTTAAGAATGAAAACATCCCTACTGGTTGTAACAAATCTGCCCACAGGAGAAGGAAGATGTTCAGTGGAGCACAGGAAGGCTCACCTGCACCACCACAGTTTAGTTCTTTTTTTTGCTAGCCCTGTGTAAACAGGTAAACAGAACACCACTGCTGAAAATAAAAACAGACTACAGAACCAAACAGGTCTCCAGCACTGAAAGAAGAGAAGAGAAGGGGAGAAGAAGCATGTCTGGGAAGCACATCACCTCCTGCACAGCAATACACAGAACTTCTCCAGGTATTTAAAGACAAGGTAGATATATTGCCAGGTCTTAAAACGAATCAGAACCACATTTTAACCAGTAGAATGTGAGTCATAAAAGTACAAATCAGACTTGAATAAAAAAACCCCTTAAGTGGCAAATAACCACAAACCCTAGGGTGTGCATGAAACTGGATGACTGACACACGAGCACAAATACTGTGTCTCCCTTTCCCCAAAAAGCTTTCGGCTCCCCAAGAAAAAGAATCACACTGAGGTGAAAACTTACTTGTTTTTATTTTCTAAAGAAAAATATTCTTCTTTAAACACAAAGCATGAACTAAAAAACGTCTGAGGAACAGCTTCTCCTCCCTCGGAGCGCGTTGAACTAAACTGTACAGATCAGAGCTCCCCAAACAAGTACATATACATGACATACAGAATATCTTTCACAGGAAATAAGGTTTAGGACTCAAAATTGTCCTCCTCATCCTCACTAGATAACCACTCCATCCCAAAGTACTCTGTCCCTTACTCCCACCACAGGACACAGTGATGATAATTTCTGGATGCAACGTGTATTTAAAAAAAAAAAAAAAAAAAAGTATTGGCCAAACTGGCCCTTTCTAGCCTTCTGACAAATGTCTGTGAGAGAGGTTAAGACCATAGTTATTTCCAGGAATGGTGCTTGGAAGAAAAAAATATAGCAGCATCCACAGGCAATACAAGCCCTTGAATCCAGCTGCCCTGTTTTCAGGAACCCAGTCAGTTCAGCAGTGTTTTACAGATGCTCCCCATCACCCAAAAAGAGGGAGTGGGAATAAAACATTCATAGGCCAAATTTGTTGCTTGAGCAGCCAGCCTGCAGCTCAGTGACCCTGGCCCACATGTGCCAGCGATGAGGTTTTCTTCCCATTGCCACAGTGACCAATTTTGTGTCTAAGATTTTATGTAAAAAGATATGATCACCTTCAGAAATCAGCAGCTTATTCCACCCATTCTCTCTGTCCCATCCAATAGATATGTGCATAATACTGCTCACATCTGCCAAACTACCCAGACTCCAGAACTGGAACCAGAATCCAAATTCTTCCTAATTTGGAACAGCAAAATCATCAAAAGTCTCTGCAAGGTCTCATAACACGCATAACAAGCCCATATCCAAAGAAAACATACCTGGGCATTTTCAAAGGAAGGTAAGTAATGGAAAAGCTCTGGAAATGGAGCTCATTTATATCCTGCTCCATCATTAATTGTTTGCATTATAATGCTCAAATCTTTTATCAGGCCATTTTGGAAAGATCTTTTCCATTCCATACACTCCAACAGTTTTTATAGTAAGAAAGTATTAGAAAAATAAAATCTCACCCCTGAACAACACTGTATGAAGATCAACATCATCAGTCACAAAGATCTTTTCAGGGGGACCAGATTATCTTTTGTTTCCTCCAAACCAGCTTCACATAGAAAAGTGCAGCAAGATAGACACAGTATCTAAGAGCTAGATTAAGGCCAACAATATAAAGACAAACATGGGCTCAGATCTTTTGAAATGAAGAAACCCTCCAAACGTTTTCATACATATGCATGCACAGACACACACACACCTACACTTGTGTGTACTACTCAAGCAAAGGCTTCACAATCGTGAAAGCACCACTGGAGAGTGTTCTAGCACCACAATGAAAAAGTTGGTTGTCCTTCCTCTTCAGCAATAAAATCCAAAGTCTTTCTATTGCTCTGGACAAGGTCATCAAACACCGTTCCAGGAACAGTATCGGTGAGCAGATTCAGAAGTGCAGTGACAGGTTAACGTGTTCCTGGTCTGGAATACGGGCAAGAAGAGGAGTGTTGAGGGGCTGCAGCTCCTTGCTGGAAAGGAGGAGAAAATTTGTATTGCAATCTGGTAGAGACCGAGAGCAACTTGGATTCCAGGTGAGCACGAAGGTGGAACCTGGCGCAGGCTGGGAGGTGAAAGTGGGAAGTTTGCATACATGAAGTCACAGTGCACATCCGTTGGCATAATAAAGACAAGCAAACCCACAGTGTTCTCTGGCAGGCTTGTCTCTGCATAGGAGGCCCCTGGGTATGCTGGAAGTCACAACAAGGATCCATGAATGGGCTGTCACACACTGCACCAGGACATCAAACGGCAGAGGTCTAAACAGAAGCTTTTGTGTTGGTCTGCAAGCATCCTGCCTACACACATGCTCAACTGAGCAGCAGAAGTTTATAAAAGGGACAAAAATCTCTTGACAGCAAGGTTAAGGGTCCAGTTCGGCTACGAGTAACAATTCATGCAAGTTGCAAAAGAATTAATCATCACCCCACAGCACATCTTTCTGCTGCAGGTCTCTACCCTGGATCTAGGCCTTTGTACAGGAGGTGCTGGCTGGGCAGCCCTCTACCAACACTCTAAAGAGGCTGAGAGGAAGATGCAGAGTCAGGAATGACAACTCCACAGCCTCTCAGGTCAGCACGTGTGGGCAGAGGTCTGTCCTCTGCCTGTAAGATGCAGAGGAGGCCATGAGCAGGCCACACTAACAAGGGAGGACAAGGAGCAGTGGCTGGAAGTGGGCTGCTGAAACAATGCAGAAAGAAATAGAAGAGATAAAGGGAGACTTAATTTTTCAGTGCTTGAATCACCAGCAGTAAAGCCCCATTTAATCTGTCTTAGACATGCTGATCAGAGTCTGGCTATCAATCACACGAGGTACTAAGTGAGGCTGTGGTAGGAACTCAATTAAAACATGCAAACAAAAGAAGTGAAAGGAAGGGTGATCATCACTCTGAGGTGTGAATTTCATGTTCAGAGCAGGGACTTATCAGCTAAGATATGCTTTGCTTCTGTGCAATAGTACAAGAGGGAACAGCAGCAAAACTGAAAGGGAGGAAAAGACACAGTGTTAACACTGTAATTCAAAATGCAAACACAGGACAGTGAGGTGAGGGAGAGGAAAGAGCAAAGAAGTTTGAAGTAAAAGAGCCCAAAGGAAGAGACAAGGGAAAAAAACCTCTGTTAACAGAGTCAGTCCTGCTTCAGGAAATACACAGCTAATGTCAGTTGGCACTCTTCACCACATATCCTTGACACTTTGGAAAATCTCTCTGCACTTGGGATTTAAGATTCGAAACCCAAAGATATTTCCCCCCCCCCAAGATGTACTGCATGATTTCAAGTATTCACCCCAAGACTCTAAATGGCCCCTGAATTCTGCTGAAGACTCACCCAAAAGTGGAAGTGCCCAAATTAAAAACTGCTTTTGAAAATCTTCCTCTGGGTTAGAAAAGAAGAATCTATCCAGAAGGGCTGATTTGTCCAGAAGCAGGTTCACTGAGAGCACCCTGGCATTTAAATAAGAAATATCTCAAATGGTTACTGAGCAAATCCCAGTATCAGACTGAGGCATCAGTTTTCTGGATAAACATCTACAATCAGAGCAGGTTTGTGCGAATTACAGCAAGAAGAAGCCACACCACTCACTGCTTGGGTGGAGACACCAGCAGAGCTGGGAGATGAAGCCCTTTGACTATGGAGCAAACCACACATGGATCCTTTCTTATCCTAGAACTAACTGCAACAGAACTCGTGCCTCCTGGGTAAAGCAAAGTGCAGGCTTCCTCCTCCTACTGCACACCACAGAAGGCCATCTCTCTGGGGTTTGTGCCTCCCTACAGCCACAGCCCCCTCAGAGGTGTGCACAGACAGCAGTTTCTGAGAACCAGCACGGCCAGAATGGCAACTGGTGAAAGGCCTCAGGGCACAGCCCAGGTGGAAGCACAGGAATATGTAAGATGCAAGAATGTGACAGAGCAGTCAAGGTCACCCACGTGCTTAGGCAAGCTTAAGGCAACTAAAGAAAATTCACTGATAATTTAGAGGAGAGAGCCAAATGGAAGAGAGAAGAGGAACCACTGGGAATGCTGGTACAGTAGCCCAAGCCCAGGATCAGCTACTAAGCCAACCCTCTTCTCCAGCTCATTTGTTCTACTTCTCCTCATTTTACCAGCACCATCAGCACGAGGTTATTAAGTCAAAAAGAAGAACTGGGGATAGGTTCCCAAAAATGTAGCTTTCATAAATTTTCAGGCTTTGTGTCTCAGGTCAGTTCCTTTGAAAGAAGTGCGTGGGCCCTTTGCCTGGCCTCTTGCTGTGAGCCAGAGCTTCCTGGGCATTCTGCCTGCCACCCCCAGGAACAATCCCCTGATGTGTTCTACCTGGAAGCGATGGCAGCAGCTGCCTGGGTTCCTTGTCACAACAGCTGAGCATACAGTAGTTCTTTTTAAAAAACAGCATGCACCAGTGACACGGCCATCAGCCATGAAGCCATGGTTGAATCCTTGTCTCCTCAGAAGCAGGTGGAGCCAGAAGGGAAGGGGGAGCTGGCAGAGCTCAGCGCAGGCTCCGGTAGACGTAGGCTGATGTGAAGACAGCATTGAGAGTCAGGCTCACGGCCAGCAGGCCTCGCAGAGCAGAGTTACCAAGATGACCTGAGTAGAAGAGGACAACACATAGAAAAAAAGTGAATGGTGGAAAGAGATATTAAAGAACTGACAAGATAAATAACAGTGAATATATATCGTGCTCTTTCTCTCTCTTTGCCCAGCATTTTCACCATAAACCAAAATTGCTGAAGCACTCTTCCTGTCAGGAAAGATTCTACTACTCTCTTTGGTTCTACTTCCATCTCATCACTCTTCTCAACACCCGTATCCCCACCTCTTTCCTTCTGTCTCAGTTCAGCACACTGTCAGTATTCTTCAGGCAGTCCAAAGAACAGAAATAGCCTTATTAAGGTCTTAGAATAGCAGGCACAAGATCCACTTTGCTACTACTTATTTATCTGATCTCAAGATCCAGATGAAAGATCTGTTACCCTCACAGAAACACACATACATGAAGCACTCACATGACTTGCACCTACCTCTCCAACCTGCCAAATCTTCCCCTTTGGTAGTTGTGTCTACCACACACGTAGATGAGTGTGATGAGTGATCTTCCTTTTTGATGGAATTATCACTGCAAATACTCCCTCCTTCCACAGGAGATCTCACATCTGCAAAGAGAAAAAGATACAAAAATTCAGAAGGCACCAGTGGAAGCCAAAAGTAGCAAAAGTTACCAAACTAAAGCTAGATGTGAGTAACAGATGGTTGCCTGGTAAAATCATGAAAGGATCAAAGACAGGAGCAGGAAACAAAAGGCAGACTTTACTGCTGTACAGCAGAAGTTGCCTGCACGTTTGCCTCATACATTGTCTGTATCAGCATCACCACATCTGTGACTAAACGAGTTACCCAGACAAGGGTGATGGCAGTGGGACCCCTGGGGCACCTCTAGGTGAGAAAAGGACATCTGTTTTCATAGACGAGAGGCCCTCCAGGCCACTGGATTCTTAAGGGAAATTTGGTAGCCCACCAGTCATCACCACCAGAGTTTTTCCTGAAGGTTGCCCATCTCTCTGTGGCCTGGATGATGTGCAGCTTTGCTCAGAGGCCAGCTCCTCCCCAGCACCACCCCTCCAGCAGCGGGGCAGGCTGGCAGCGTACCCGGCACGCCCCGCTCGCCCAGGCTCTTCTTCGGCAGGGACAGCTCGGCGCCGAAGCCCTGGCTGTCCGAGTGGGTGTCCGAGCTCGTGGGGGTGAGCAGAGCTTCGTTCTGAGAGGGGAAGAGCAGCAGCTTCTGCCCCTTCAGGTTGAGGCGGGCAGGGCTGATGAGCGGCCGGCGGTACCGCAGGGAGCCCGAGCTGGACGTCACGGAGCCAGCCAGCGACGGCGCCGGAGACGGGATGCGAGAGGCAGCACAGCTGCCCGACAGCAGGGAGAAGGGATCTGCAATGGAGACACCCCCAGAGAGGAAAGAATGAGATTATGATCCAAATACAGCATGTGCAGTTCGCTTTCATGAGTCTGCAAGAAAAGGGAATGGAAGTTGCAAATGTCCAATGTATCTTGTACTAAAAGTCTTTATTCATTTGAGTTCCTACACTGTAAAACATGGAGAAATTCCACATGCACTTTGGTACACACAAGCATGGCACGATGTTTTGCAGGTAAATTAACCAGTCTGGCATGTCCTTCAAAGGCTGCTGGGCTAAGATTGTATCAGGATATGAGGAGGTCTGCACAAGGCATTAGCCCAGGCTGTGGCTGTTCCCAGCAGCACACACTTCCGCAGCACAAAGAGCCAAAGGATCCATTTGGGGTCAGGAGGGCAACAGACAGGTCGCTGGAGGACAAAGGAGCAAAAGGGCAGAGCAGACAGGGTAGACAAATCATCAGTTGCTTGGGCTAGGGAAGAAAAGTGAAACAAAAAAAGCTGCCCTAGGAATAGTTCTAAAGTCTTCTATCAAAGCAGCCTCAACTTGGCTGTAGAGCAGGGAAGGGATCCTTGCTGTGCCTCAATGATTTCACTGTGGGCTCTCCCACAAAGAGCATCCAATACATATAGCACCATATTTTAATGCAGTCTCACTCTTAGTTGGAACTCTCTGCAGCATTTCTAACAGGGAAACTGATATTTTCACTGGGATGTGGGCAGGGAAGGAAGAATTATACTTGGATGACGTGTTTCAACCCACTCACTGCAAATCCTGCCAGGACAGTTGCCCTGGAAGGGCTCGTGCATTACCTGATGCAGGAGATTCCTTGGACTGAGATGACTGTGAGGCTGGTCGACTGCCACTGAACAAGTAGCCAGAATCTAAAAAGCAAAAAGGAAACAGTTTAAACCCAGCTGGCTCAGCTACTAGAGGTCTATCCCTCAGAAACAGGACTGCATCATCTTGTCATCAGTCTCAGGAGATGTGTGGTGTATCTAGACAGGAAAAATGTCTCTGTTTTCCTTGGTAGGCTGCATGCCAACAGCAAAATAATGCACTTGTCTCAGCTGCAGCAGAACAGATATGTCCAGCAGGCTCCAAAACCAACCCTGTGGTTTTATCACAGCCTGGCTCACCTCTACTTAAAAAGGAAGAAGGTGAAGATATGGTTGTATCCTTTTCTCATGAAACAAACTTTAAGGGTAGATCATAGGATGAGATGAATTCCCATCTAGCTGTCAGGCATGACAGCCATAATAACAGGCAGGGGAAAAAAAATCCCTCAATGAAAAGTACTGAAGTCAGGAAAAAGAAGTGCTACAAATGAAACCTCAGAGCTTAAATAAATTCTCTCAGGCACCTGATTTACACAGTTACAGGCAAGTGGCTTTGGAAGTTGGAAACCTCACTGTGAAAACCACTCAGGCCCAGCAGCATGTTCCCTCCAGCCTGCCTGGCTTAGCACCTCAGCAAGAGCAAGCAGAGCCTCAGAGGGGGGGTTTAGCATGCAGGGGAACCCCAGGCAGCTGCTGCCCCTGCCCTCCCAGCCCCTGTTGGGTAAGAAGGGAGGTGAGGGCTGTGCCCAAAGCTGCCACGCTGCTGCAGGGTTCACATGGCTCCTTGTGCTCTTAGTGCATCTGGCAAAACTGCCAGTGCCATGAGCTAGAGAAATGGTGAATGAAGTCAAAAAATGCTGCAGTGTTATCCCAGAAACAGCCACGTTTTGGCCTCTGACCTTCTGGTAATCGGTCAGTGGGAGGGAAAGCTTAGTTCTCCTTAGATGGAGAACAGCATTTGAACACTATTTCCCATCTGTTAGTCTCAAGCACAGCGAAGTGGAGAGCTTATTGAATTCCTGGGAGAGAGGCTTTCCTTAGGCCTATAAATCTTCCCTAGATCACACAAAGCCCTCTCTGAAGCAGCTTCAGTAGCTGGGCTAATGCCTATCAGATCCACACTCGGGAGGAGCTTGCCTTCAGCTGCAGCATTAAAAGCACACTACACAAAGCAGCTGGAAGGAAGGGAGTGGTCGCTCTTGCCAGATCAGTTATCCTAATGCTCCCAAGCAGCTGAAAAACTGCTCTTCTCTGTTCCCATGTCTAACTGCTCCTTCTGTCTCTCTCCCACACCATAGCCTTGGATTATGCCACACTGCCACAAACACCTGAAGAGGCCTCTGGATTTCAGCAAACCCAGAGCAGGCTCAGTGTCTCCAGGATGGCAGTGGTATGCTGCATCACTCCCTAACCCACACCGGGTACTCCTCTGTGCCACAGGAGCAGCAGTCCCCAAAGAGGACTGTAAGGGGGCTACCCCACAGCCCATTTCCATCTGAAGCACTCTACCACTGCACTGCCATTGCCTTTGGGCCAGAAAGTTTCGTTCACACTCACCTGCTCTGGCCAAGGAGGGGATGGTACCCAGCGAGAGTGCCCTGTTGAGACGACCAGGAAGAGAGGAAGAAGTTGTTCTGCATGGGGATCTGAAGAGCTGTTGGTTTGTCAGCTGGAGAATACTGGGTGGTGTTGGGACAAAGAGGGATGTAGCAGAGGAAGGGAAGCCAGTCCCAGAGCCACTTGGAAAGAGAGCAATCGAATCCCCAGAAAGGTACCTGCAAATGACACCACGACAGACATTTAACAAGGAGTACATTCCAGAAACTCCCCCTCTTGGTTGTACTTTTTGCACAAGCACTTGTTTTGTTATCAGGTTTGTACAGATTTTTCAGTGAGGAATGCAAGATGCAGAATGCTTAAGAGTTTACAGGAATGTTCCTACACCTTTGAAACTGGAGGAGGAGGAACTGCTCAAACCATCATACACCAACCTGGCCCACAGTACAGGGTGGAGAAAATGTTGGAACAGTTCAGGAACTCTGGTGCAAACAGGAATAGTTCCTTCATTCTCTCCTTGGATAAGAAAATTACCCAGAGACCACCAGAATGCTTTACAAAGTCCAGGCACACACAGGACCAACAATAGAGTACATCTGATGTTTGTTATTTGTGCACATGAACATGCTTAGAAATATCATGACTGTGGAAAGCAGGTAGCTCTCTGCTGGACTTTCTGTCTTTAGAAACCTGACTCAACACCTTACCTCTAATGCCAGCATAGAGAGGGTTTTTTTTATGGGTATCCAGATAGAGTTATAGGCACAAGAGCTGTTTCAAAACTAACCTTCAAACCACTGTAATACATTAGCTTTCATTATACTTCTGTCAGGTAATGGAGACTCACTACCCTCATTGTACAGATGGGAAACAGAAGCAGAAAGAAGCTACTTGACTTATTTGGACTCACAGAAAATTCCTATGCTAGATCAGAATCACAAACCTGGATTTTCCAGTCCTAAACTGAGGCCTAAATCATTACATTTTCCCTTCTCTGCATATCATAACTAGCCACAAATAACTAGCATAGCCATTCAGAGGGAGCTGTGCTTCACTCTAGGAACTGTCTTGCTTCTAGTGTGTAAAAAACAATCTCTGTTACAGTGCCTGGAAAATTTAAAATTTGCAATAATAATGGCAATTGTATTTCTAGGTCTGTAAGCCGTTTTCACTGAGTTTGTGCCAAGTGAAAGAGGACAGCTGTAGAACAGCATGTCCAACTTGAGAAGACAAGACAGAGGCAACAGACAAAACATACTAAGGGCACCTGTACTGGCCAGCTTGATTTGCAACTGCTACAGACATAAACTGACTTCTATCCCACTAGCAGAAAACTATGTAAGAGGGCCTTGTATTTTAAACAGTTTTTGCAGCTAGCACTGCCACAGTCAATTACTACATGCAAATAAATGATGGAATTAATTTCCAATACCCTCATTTCATCACCTACGTTTGCAGTGGTTTAAAATTTAAAAATCAACCTACGCTGAAAAATCTGTCAGACTTACTCCTATTTTTACCTTATTTCTAGTCCTCCTTGCAATCACATACTGGTCTTAGTCTCTGTGTACAGTTTAGATTGCATGAGAAATGATCAGTCAGCTTTGGAGACTCACTTGTGTCCTCATACCATCAAAACCAGCATTCTAATAACGCTGCAGAGTTCAAATATAGGAATTTTCTATTATTTTTATATGAACAATCATGAATATGAACAAGATCTCTCAATCTCCTCTAAGAGTTTTCTTTAGTTAGGAACAGGTAATATTCTTGTCAAGTCATAATGAAGTACTAATGAAGTGTGCATATTTTAAAACAGAGATATCAGACTTAGCAGCATATCATCAAGCTGCAACCCTTGAAGTTTTATCTCACTTCTGATGAGAACAAGAGACAGATTAGAGCAGCAACATGGCTTTTCTTGTGCCAGAGGCAAGGCAGGAGTAAACCAGTGTGAAGGAACACAGGTATCTCAGTCTTGAGCTGTGAGGTGATGTATGCCTGTGCCATTCTCTCTTGGAGATTAAAGAGGTGATGCAGCAGCATTATGCAGTGCTAGCATGGCCAGAGAAGTAGTCTAGAATTAAGATTACCATTTAAAATATCTTATAAAACTACTTATCTGCTAGTATGAGGCAGACAGCAACAATCCCGACCAGCTTAATCAGGCTGAACAACATCTGAGCCCATCAGCTTCCTGGAGCTTGCAAGCAGGACATGCCTTTAACAGAGGCAAGGAACTCCTCAGTCTTGCAGGAGAAACTGCCCAGCCTCTTCAGGTTCCAGAGGACCTGGGAATGGTGTCATGCTTCCCAAACGTGCAGAGTCCTTCAGTGCACACACACACACACATTTGTCCTCCCACACAGATGTAAACAGCAGTGGCACATGTCCATCTCAGCTTTGTAAGAGAGAATGAATGGGAAAGGAAATCAGAAGTGCAGCTCAGGACTATGCTATGAGCCACATCAGAAAGACTGACACCTACCACTCCCTGTGCCATGTCTGTGAAGGGCCAAATCAGAGCATTGCCTGTGTGGAACATAGCTCTTTTTTCCTAGCTTTTCACCTTCTGTGTCTTTGGGTCAAGATCCACCTTTACTCAGCTCCTTGCTGCAGTGGAAAGCAGCTTATCAGGCTTTCACTTAATTGGCTGGAAGATATTAGAATCATTTATTGCTCTTAACCAGAATCTGTTTCCTAGAGTTGTAACTGATTTGGATCAGACTTCCCTGGGCTCTGCTGCTCCAGAGCCCCACTTCCCAACCCCACTGAGTGCAGTCAGGTCCTCTGGGCACCTGATGAATCATTTGTCTTGCACCATCCAGAAAAGGAATTTTTCTGGTTAGCAAAGAAGAGCTCAATAATTTTGAGCAATAGCTTATTAATGCTTTAGGAAGGTCCTCTGGGCACCTGATGAATCATTTGTCTTGCACCATCCAGAAAAGGAATTTTTCTGGTTAGAAGAGTTAAATAATTTTGAGCAATAGCTTATTAACGCTTTAGGATTTGAGTGCTGACCAGAGAATGGCTTAAATACTGATCCACTGCAAACAAAGTAAATTCCTGCACTGCATGCAGAATCCTGTCCCTTTTCTATGCTCTCTTCTCTTTATCATTTGCCACTGTCATGCCCAGAGGGCCAGATGCTGCTAAAGAGCAGGGGTATGAACTAAAACTTCCTTCAGAAGCAGATGAAAAAAGGTGAGGAGATCAAGAGGATCAGGAGGCAGGAAGCAGCCACATCCCAGCCCTGGGATGGTGCAGGGCAGCTCTGTCTCTGCTCTCAGACTACTGCACTGCTCCAAGCCATTTGTGCAAGTGATAATAGTGGGTCTAGGAACAGTGAAAGTTAACCAAAAAAGGAAAAAGGGGATAAAAAAAAAAAAAAAAGGCTCTGGAGTCAGACAAGTTGTGGAAATAGTCAGGGCCCGGAAGCCGTTTATTTCAGAACTTGGTATTGTGAACATCAAAAATTGGGTATCTTAGTGTTTACAGTGATCACAGCATTACTAGACAGTTGGGCACAATCTGCTACACAGATGCTTTAAAAATAAATAGAAGGTTAAGAGTATTACATGGTATGGGACTGTACACTGTCCTGAAGAATCACCTCCTGCTAGCAGTCTCCCCCTCCTCTATCCCAACACCTCCCTCTTGTCCAAAGACAACACCATGTGCAGTGGCCCTTTCAATTCACATTAACCAGAGATGCTGCATCACCCCTGGGACAGAGACAGACACAGGACAGCATGGGTCAGGTCAGACTGCAGGGCTGCAGAGGGCCCCACTCCCACTGTCAGACAATCCAGTACAGGCAGTAAGCAGGTAAGATGCAGGCACAGCCAGGCAGCTTGCAGCCTGTGCCCAGGCTCATCTGCCTGCAGGCAGCCAGGGAACCCTGTGTCAGTCACGGGGTAAAATGTTTGCCATGGACTTAAGGTCCCATCACAAATTAGCTATGAGTTACCAGTGTACAACAGCACTGTCTTCTCCAGGCAGGATGGGTGCTGCTGCCCAAGACAAGCAAGTGCTGTGAGCCAGCAGGCAGCTGCTTGTCAGGGCTGCTGCATCAGACCCATCAGTGCCACAGCCTGTGCTGCTGGTCAGGGTGACAGAACTGGGAGCAAAGAGCAACACAGTGATAAAAAACAGGGAGAGGGGAGAATAATGCTAAAAGAGGGGCACATGTCTCAGACATTAAGATTTTAATATGTGACTTAGCTAGAAACTTCAGCTGCTGACACTAAGAATTCTTTTCTCCTATATATTGCCCCCTTTGGATGAAAAAGGAGGGCTGAATTAGAGCCAAAAATGATCCAGCTGCCACATCCTGTACTAATACCTTCTAGAGTACAGACAGATGTTTGGCATCCACTTTGCCTTCCCTCCTAGCTGGTGGCACACAGATGTGGAGGGGGTGTATACACCTCCCACATCTACCAAAATCCAGGCTCGCTGGCATGACAGAAACATTCAGAGGATCTCTCCCCTGCCTGTGTACTCAACAGTCCCCAAAGAGGCTTTCCAGGGGATGACTCGAGGTACACTTCAGGACTGAGTACTGCCCCTTTCACAGGAGAGCATCTGTGGTGGCTCGAGAGGCCCCAGGTGTACTCGCAGGTGACAGCACAGCTGGAATGAGCTGGCAGGTCCCAGGTGACAGCACACGAGTTCAACAGCTTCTCTTGAAACACCAAAGCAAAGCCACATGCCACAGCTCTCTGTTTTCACGAGTTGAGTCAGCGTGGAACAATCACCTGGCTATTAATTACATGAATTTTTATAAGCATACAAATAATGTGTCCACAACACACCAACACACACTTTCTATACTATCTAAGCATGATTATTAGCTTCACAAAATTTCAGCGTACTGGACAACTACTCAGAAAGCCAAAATAAAACACCACTACTCTGTTTTTATATTCCCCTCTTGTCCTCATCCTTTGACACACCCAAGCTCAGTTCCCTAGGGCATGCAAAGCACAGACAGTAGGAAAGGAGGAGTTAGCAGAAAGGAAAGAATGGGATATAAATGTAGCTTACTTAGAATTGTAAAGGGTCACAAAGGCATCAGCTTGCATGCACTGATGTCAGTGAGGGCTTCAGGAAGACCAGAAGTAGCAGCAAGATGCTTCCTTGGTTGCTAGCTCTTGGTTCTCCCTGAACCCCTCAATAGTCTGCAGAGTTGCTCAGAAATTTAAGAGCGTGGCCCAAGTATCCTCTTTTGCCCAGCCACAGTCACAAGTGGCAAATGAAGGACAAGAGCAGTGGCCTGGCAGACATACAGGCACTGCTGTCCCACGCTGCAGCTCTGGCAGTTCCACTGCAGCAGAGCAACAGAGTGTTGTCAAAAATCTCATCCAGGGAAAGGCACTTGATGAACCCACCTCAGCCCCTTCACATGCCCAACTCAGCTGGGCAGGGTACAAGATGCTTTTGAGCTGGAGCACCTCAGCTCCAGTCTGTAGCACCATCCTCTGGCCCAGATACCACCACACGGCCAGTGTAAAAAAGCAGCACCTGAAATTAGAGGCTTTTGGGCTAAAATCCTCTAATACTGTTGAGACATTTACATGCTCTGATGTGCATGGCAGGGAGAATCCTCAGGCAACAAAGCTGCATCTGGTGACCACAAGTTACCACATGCCCCTCTGTGGCCTGAAGTAAGAGTCCTGCTAAGTGAAAGGAGAAGCTCAAAGTGATCAACTGGTTCTGGGTTAATTTTTTGTCAGCTGTGTTAGTGTGTTGCCAGCCCTTTGTTAGCTATGAGCCCCTTCAGAAGGAAACCTATACCCACATGTCCTACAGAATAGCACCTTAGAGTCATGAGCATGGTGGCACTGTGCTCAGACCTTGGACTTGCACCAAAACACCTGAGCTGGAAGCACAGGTTTCCTTCTGCTGGACTCGCTGTGGGGGAAGCAAGCAGGCAGAGTCAGATGGGGTATCTAACTGCTGAGCTGCTCCTAACTGAGCCTTGAGTCAAAAATACAAAGCTGGAAAAGCACCTTCCTTGCAGAACCTACTGCATGGCACAGTGTTTAGAATAGTCTATTTGGCATTGAAATTGGGTGTTGCAGGAACAGTCTCACTAAAGAGAGTGATGGTTTCATTATTTGGGGTGATTTTTCCCTCGAAACAATCGACAGTAAAATACTGCTAACTTAAAACTGATTTTCAGGCCTAATTGCCTAAGGAGACACAATTGGTAGAGATTGAATGCTAGCTGTTTATACAGAAAAACACCTCTGGAAAAACCACCTTTCTTCCCTCTCCTCTGGAAGATCGATCACTCTCTACCATCAGCAATGTGAGACAAAGTATGTGAGGAAGCAGAAAGGGAAGACTGTTAGCATCAGAGTTTCTAAAATACCAAAAAAAAATCAATTGCTGCAAGTTTGGTTTTGAGTTTTTTTGGTTGTTTTTAGAAGCAGCAGCACAGACATGCTGAGGCACCAAGAAGCAGGAGATTAAGCTGACACCTGAGCAAAGGCAAAAGCTTCTTTGGCATTCCAACTGAAGCACATTTCAATATGTGTTTTCCTAGTTTGTTTTGCCTTTGGAATTTTTCCAATTATGAGTCCAAATGTTCTCCATTATAAGTTGTGGACAAAGCACCAAAGACCAAGGCTTCAGTTGTAGAGCCTGGCCAGAAAACAAAGCAGCTTTCTGATGTTCTGACATACAAAATTAGTGCAACTTGCAACTGCATTTCATTTGTGTTAAACTGCATATAGTGAAGACAAATGGATTTCTTGCCTGCATGTCAACTGCATGTCCCCCAGTTGAAAAGATTTTAAACTCTTCCAGTATAGATTTGCACTTGCTGTGCAAACAGAGCTAAAACAGTTCTTAATATTATTCAGGCTTCCCAGTGTAAACTCCACTCCTTCTGAGTCCTACCAGCTGCCCGTTCCTGGTATCTGGTGGTGTTCATCCTCCCCATCCCATCCCAGTATTACACAGGAAAAAAGACAGGAGAATAAAGGTAATTATCAGGCACAGGAAAACAACATAACACTTAACAGCAAAACAGCATAAAAGGTGCCAGACCCCAGGGGCCTCAAAGAAGGGGCATGTTTAAATAGGAAAGAAAAAAAGAGAGGAGGAAAACAGCTGCTCAGAAGAAATAGGAGGCCATGTGAAACAGAACATAACACAGCCCTGACTTTCAGCCCCTAAACCCAAAATATCTGGAAAAGCTGACAAGCTTATCTTTAGAGACTGTCACAGAGGGTTTCCTTGCTACTGGGCAAGAAAATATGGACAGATTAATTATACTCTTATTAAAAAAAAAAAAGAAAGGATATTGCCATTAGAAATCAGGCATGACATTGCCATCACCACCCCCACACATCTTAAACAGCTTGTCACTGGTTCACACTCCTCCTGGCAGGCTCAATACAGCCTTCTAAACATGAGATTCCTCCTGTCCCGTGGACATACCTGACAGCAGGGCAGCAAGAGGAACTGCTCTCCTCTGCCACACCAGGCAGTCAGGTCCATATGCTGGAAGATAGGAAACAACAACCCAACTTCATGGGGAAAACTTGGAAGTACTGAAGCAGGAAGAAGGGAGGAAGAAAAAGTCTGGATGTCTCATTTAATGTAAGGGATGTAATAGCTCAAGGTTTTTTGTGCAGCTTGTTTAGAGACTGGCAGAGCTGACACCAGACTTGGTTCCAGAGTCCATTTCATAAGACAGCTTTGTCCACCTCACTTTGAACAGCAGATGTGCTGCAGAACAATGGTCTTGGAAGTGCTGCTGCCATGGAATTTTTGATGGGTGAAAACATTACAACCATCACTGCACTGAATGGAAAGCCAAGTAGACACTGACAGCACATCCATGCACAAAGTTGTACCTGGTTGTCTTTTTTACCTGCCACTTCCTATCCTTTCACATTTCAGGCTGATTTTTAAGGAATGGTTCCTACTAAATCTAACAGAGTAGGAAAGAGGCACCGGAGTGATTGTGAAAGTCTAACCCGGCAGTGATAAAGTCACACAGCTTCTTGTAGTATCTACTTTGAAACATTTCTCCAAATTCAATGAAGTGTCCTAGTGGAAAATGGGACATAGTGGTTATTATTTAGCATTTTAAATGTCTGAGACTGGAACAAGAAACAGTTTGGGTCTGTGAGCTGGAAGACAAACCTTTTGGGTCAGAACTGATAAACAAGAGGAACAGGGAAGAGTGGAACCAGACTTTGCAGACGCTGGATTCCTCCTGGGGGCAAATAAGCCCTCAGAGCAGCATCATTCACAAGCACCAGAAAGGAGAAAGGTGTTTTGTTTGCTTGGAGGTGGATATTGCAGTTATGTGAAGGCACCAGCAAAAAGTTCCAAAAAGAGAGCACATATGGGAAGCAGGCTTGTGTCGCCCTCCCAGGCCAGCTGTTAAGTTAGAGGCACTTTGTCCTTCAGCCATGAGTTGTACCTTCCCATGACACACTCAGTTTGGCTTATTGTTAACACATCTCTACAGAGCTTTTGGTAGTGCTGCCTTTCTGCTTTCACAGTGAAGACCGGTTTGAAGAACAGCAGCTATGAAAAGCTATGAAATATTCTTTGTTTTCCTTAAAAAAGAATCTACAGCATCCAGTAGTGTCCGAGTCTTTCAGCAGGTTGCAGGAGAGGGAGATACTGTATAGTGAGAGCTCTGCTCTCATTATTTTAGAGTTTATACATAGAAAGATCAAGACACCAAATTAACTTCTTTTGGACTACTAGTGTGGCAAGTTCCATTGCACTATTCTAAACAGAAGAAAACATCAGATCTTCTGTAATAATGCTATTTCCTCTTGAAAGACCCAAATCTGGATGAGAAACTCAGTGGACAGCCTTCCAAAAAACAGTGCAGGATAATCAGACTGCTTATCTGAGCTGTCCCAGACATCTTAATCCTACAAAAACCCAGGCAGCTCTAACACCCAGTCATCCCAGGTCACAAGTTCCAAAGTCACAATTTCCAGGTTCCTTTCTTCAGCAGCATGCTCACCAATGCCAGACTTCAGAAAAGAACCCCTCTGAGAAAATTCCATCTCTGTTGCCATGCAGTCCCACAGCAGAGGCTCCCACCCCTTCCTATAGCAGTTGCTCCTAGTCTGGGTTCTAAACAGTAAGGAAAACATTGACTGAACAAGCAGTGATGTACAATGAGAGCTGAACACATGCCACAGCATGAGGTTGTTACCCCCATGTTTAATCTCCTCCTAAGGCTACAGAAGTGGAGGAACACACATGTTTTTATACAGTTGTGCTCTTACAGATGCTTCTCGGGGGGTGGTGGGGTTGGGTAGTGAAAAAAAAAACCCAAAGAAAACTGGTATGGAAAGCAACAGCCACTGGCAGATTTGACAATTTAGCCTAAACCAGCTGGATACTTCCAGATATTCAGTCAAGACACCCTGAGCTACAGAAGCTGTTAAAAGCACCCTTTAAAAGAAATGATTGAAGTTCCAGTCAAAAGCACTTAAGGACGTCTCTGCATTTAAAACAGGAGTCCCAGGAGAAGAGCAGAGCAGGTGAGCATGCAGGGAAGTGCTGCTGCCCAGTGGAAGGCAAGACCCACCAGGTCCTGGGCCCCTCCTGGCGTGCCCTACCCCGAGCAGTGTCCCTGCAGCACACGGACGAGGACTCGGCGTCCAGAGGCAAGTCCCCAGCAGTTCAAAATTAAAACGACCAGCACCATTAGAAAACTGAAGGTGGCCCAGGCCCCATGGAGGATCAAGGCAGAGGGTTCCTCTGTGACAGGCTAAGGATGGACAGGCAGTGAGAACCAGGACAGGAGAAGCCAGAATCTCTTTGGCTGGAGAAGCAGAAGGGGGAGGAGGCTGCACTTATTGAGCAGTTTGTGAAGCAGCTGCTGGAAGAATCTGCTTTAGGGAAGTTGGGTATTTGCACTGCTGATGTAGGATTCAGGAGAAGGGAGAATGGAGGCAGGAGTAGTTTCCATTGCTAGCACGAGCAGTGGAACTGCTTGTAGCAGGCAGCAGAGTGGGAAGCATGGGAAAAAAAAAGTATATGTATATAAAGGAAGAAAAGATCTTCACTGCATAGCTAATTAAAAAAAAAGAAAGAAAACAGAGGAAGGGCAAATAAAAAGAGGAAAGAGAAGCACCAGTCACCAAGAGTTCACAAGGCTTCTCCTCCTCCTGCCCCCAGCGTCACTGCTCTGGCTCTGACCTTCGGGGCCGGCATCTCCGGTGGCCCGTCGACTTCCGCGTGGCCACCGCCGCGGTGAAGCCCACCAAGCAGCACAAGGATGTGGTGCCAAATTTGGCCGTGTCCAGCCAGCTGGGCGTCTCCATCTTCAGGTACCTCTCAGCTAAATGCAGACTCATCACGACAAACCACAAGACTGAAGCAAACGCGTCGATTCTTCGGAGCCTGCGATGCCAAAAAGAAACCAAACGAGACTCAGGGTAAGAGTTTAAACACCAACGAGCCCCTCGGTCCTGAGGAAGGAGAGGCAAGGTGGGGAGGGACCACAGACTGAGCAGGTTATGTACTACCTCTTACTACTGTTGTACCATCTGCAGCCCTTCCCACTGCTGTGGCAAGTACCTGATCAGTTCCATATTCTACCTGCTCACAGCTACACAGGGAGCTCTTCACTCACATTAACTCACTCTTAAATTGCATGAACCAAGGCACAGATCCAAAGCAAGCTCTGCTGTCTCCATCCAGCTGGCTGGCAATCCAAAGGAAAACCAGGAGAACTGTGCCACCCAGTACTACATGAGCCATTCAGGGAAATGTTTACCCCCTGCCTCACTGACTCAAGACAGGGCCAAAGACCTCCAACATAATTTTCTTTCAGAGAAACCGAAGAGGAGAGCACACCCACCTGATCCGCCCAGCCAAGAACATGGCCAAGAGGCAGGTGAAGAGCCCAAGGACAGCAACTGCCATCTGGTGGTTCTTCCCATATACCCATGCTGCACTCAGGTTCTCCACCAGCTGTTCTGGGAGCAGGTGGAGCAGCTCCTGCCAGCGTGCCACCGGTATGGAAGTGTCATTTTCCAGGTCTGCTTGTGAGCTCGTGCCAGTCCTGTTGTGGATGGATGCTGAACCAGAGGAGACAGGAGCAGGGACTGCTGCACTGAGTGAGAAGGGGTCACCCGACCCATACAGGGCCATGAGAACCAGGAACGCACAGCTGAGGAAGGCCAAGAACCGCAGGAATATCACCTGAGCTGGAGTGGTTATGGCAGCAGAAGAGGAAGACGAACATAAATTCTGCAGAGGAAGGGAGAAACACCACATCAGAAGCTCAATGAACTGTAGTAGGGGTTTGAGATGGTGCTTTATGAAACAGTTCCAGAGTGTATGGAGGGTTTTGCTCAAATCCTTATGTGTCTCTGCTGGGCTAACACCCCATGGAATGTTACAGACTAGCAAACAGCAACAGCAGAGCTATGAGCTGAAGCAGACAGGGCAGTGAGGACAGGTCATAGATCACTTCCCATTGCTCTTCTCTCCACCTCCCCCACCCATACCCTGTACTTTCCTGCAATTCCTTCTGGCAATTCCACCAAATGACACCAGCAAGAGGAAAACCTCAAACTGACACCAGGAGCATCTGTGTCAACTATCCTGTGCTCTTCTGAACTTCTGCTATGCAGTTGTGCTCCCAGAGTCCCAAGGCTGCTGCCTTCCTTTCCCAGCAGCAAACCCAGGCACAGAGGTACCCAATTCTCTGCACTTCCCCCTAAATTCCCCTGCCCCCCCCACGTACCTGAGTGTAGCTCTTGTCTGTCTCACGGCGTTTGAAGTGGTGGCTGAGCAGCAGCGCCCGGAGCTGCCGGTTCTGGTGTTTTATGTAATACTCCACAGCAGCCTGGCACGGGCGGCACAGCTTGTAGGTCTGCTCCAGATGGTGCTTATACACCTCAATCTCCTCATCGTATTTGCCCTGGTGAGACAACAGGAGAAGAAAAGTAGGTGAGAACTGCAGGCCCCTCACCTGACCTGCGAGCAAAGCATGCTGCCAGTCTCCAGAGGAACAGCCCCCTGAAACCAGGCCTGAACAGTGACCAAGCTAGAAGATAGTCATACAACCAACTTGGCACACAGCTGACCCAGCCTCCATGCCCAAGAAGAGACAAAACAGCCCTTAGAGAAGGCTGCTGTGGCCCAGTTTCAGGATGCTGAATTTCTGTGGCCTGATTTTGCTGTCTTTGTCAAGACCTTATGAACTCAACACAGAAGATGAGACAAAAAAAACAGAATTACTCTTGCCCTCAAATGAAGGGACACAGAAGACCTGTTGCTCCTTCACTCCTCTGTGCTGGAGTAAGAGACAAGCTCCTTCCAAAACTCAGCCCCAGGCTCGAAGGCTGTCACTGTGACAGCCGTGGTGAGATGAGCTCCTTAAATCATTAACAGCACTTGTTAAAACAGACAGCAAGTAGGGCCAAAGGTATGGTTTTCAGCACTACTGCAGTGGACACATCACTTATCAGAAGCTTCTAGGGCTCTTCTATCTCTACTCCCAGTCTCTATCAAAATCCTTGTACCAAGAGCACACAGCTGAAAGCATGACCCTCTCTGGGCGAGAGAAGTAGAAAGTTGCACTGGAGCTGCCCGAGGCCTTGCTGCAGCAGTTCCATGGGCTCCATCTCCCAGAACTGAGAAGGAATCACACAGGAGAGAACAGCAGCAGCAGGCTTACCCCTTACTGGACAGGCCAGCAATGCTGAGAGGCCACTGCTGTCACTGACACACACCTAACCATGCTGGATAACACAGACCCACGTTTCTTAGCTGGCACAGACACTGCAGTTCACTGAATGCCTAAAAAGGAGCCAGAGGCTGCTGTTTCTCGAGCAAGTGGATAGGCCTGGCAAAGGGCAGGGACCAGAAACAAAGCTGAGAAAAGGGAATTGGACAAAGATGTCCTCATTAAGCATGATGAAATTTAAATCTTCCGTGGGAGTCATCCTGATTAAACTCATTACAATTACACTAAGCACACTGGGTTACACAACCCAGAGGATGAACATATCCCACTATAGCACAGTCTTGTAACCCCAAGGCTTGACCACAGCTCAGAGCTGAAGAGTGCAGCACTAAACCCTCTGCATGAAACTTTGGGGAGTCATAAAGCTGTGAAGAAAACACCTCACTATCCTCTCCTGCATGCATATTAAGTCACGGAAAGGCCAAGGAGTTGCTCAGCAGGACATCCTGCTGCTATAACTGTAAAATCCCTTTGCCCTCCTAGGCACAAATGCCAAACCAGGGAGGTGATGTGGCTGCACAGGATTCCTCTCCCACTCCACTAGTAAAAGCAAAGCAGCACAGCCAAGGCCTCAAGAAACAGAAAATCTATTAAAGCTTCACGGTGAGTACTGGAGCTGTAAATTGATCTCAGCAACGTGCACGCTTGGCTTTGGGCTCAAGCTTCACCTTCCAACGTTCATCTAGAAGAAGTCATTACATTTTGGCTTTGGAGTAGGATTAGGTAACTTTGCAGCACTAATCAGTAACTTTCTCTGCACTGGAATGCCACATAGAGCTTCTGAAGACTATTAAAGCATCTTTCCATAGCATGCTGAAAAATTCCTCTCTCTCCTGCTTACTAGGCTGCAGCATGGAATTAGAGTAGGAATAACAGACATGTGCATGGGAATGCTGTGGACAATCATTCTCTTGCTATGCCAGTCCCTAAGGAACACTTACCTCCTCCCTGGGAGAGAACGAAGCCAGCTGTTTGATCTTTGTGGTCTGATGGTTGTTGCATTTCTTGCAAAGCAGAATTTGGCTGCTCACCCACTGCTGTGGTTTGGTAGGATCACAGAAAGTCGTAGCACCCGACACAACGTGGTTAAGGTGTTCCATGTACTGAGCAGGGATGGGCTTGTTGTAGTCTCCATTCTGACAAGAAGCAAAAAGGGAAGCAGGAAGGAAACCAAAGGTGAGATCATAAAACCAAAGCTAGGTATTCTCTGGTTGAAACCAAGATTCCCTAGGTTCTGTCAGGAGCTCTACACTCCATGCATTCACCTAGGTAATAGAAGAAATACAAAAAGATACAAAATGCTTCAGAATTCTTTCCCCTCCACTGTTCTGTACATGTACTGCAAACAGCTAGGGCTGGTGGATTTTAACACAGGCTTTGTTATTGAATACCCTAAAGTCAGCAATTCAGCTGTTCCAAAATACGAAACCAGAGTAGAATTGTTCCATATATTTAAAAAAAGATTCTTAACAGACATTGGTGAAAATGTCAAGACCCTCTTTGCCCTTTCAAGAGAGAGAGGAAGCACATCCTCTATGTCAGCACATCCCAGTACAGTAGATTCTGTCTCCAATTTGATCAAGCGATCAGCTGCTGAGTCCACAGATGCTCAGCACAGAGCTGCCAAGTCGCTGGGTATTCATCTGCACTGGGCCTGTATCGTCCTAAATGAGAAGCAGGGTCCTCCCAGCAGCACTGTTCCACAGGGCACACTCCTTCCCTGCCACCCCCATGCCCCCTGTCCCCACACCTCCTGGAAGCCGTTGTACTGCTCGCAGTTGGGGCAGTCCCAGCAGTTGCGGTTCCCGTAGGGCACCACCGTGTCCTGGTTGCAGAACCAGCAGTTCACAGTCACGTGTGTGGGCTTCCTCCTGTCAGGAAAGGAAACGTGTCAGGCAGGAGCACCGAATCCAGCGGATGCAGAGGGAAGCAAGGGCTTTCACACAGGGAAACGTGAGAGAGGCTGGACTAACAACCAGCCTTCCCCTTCAGCGTGCTGAACCCCCCGACTCAGAAACCAGCCTTCCCCTTCAGTGTGCTCAACCGCCTGACTCAGAGCAGTCATTTTAGCAACGAAAAGATGGGCTACAAGAGTAGAAATAAACTTCTGCCTGATGCTCATCTCTCTCCCTGCTTGGACCCTGGATTTGATAGAACTTTAACAACCCTGTGAATAACCCACTTCACACTGTTTTTCAGAGGCATATTTGGAATGCAAGTCCTCTCCATAATCAGCAGTGTCAATATATGCAAAGGGTGGGGTAAAGTTGCTGCTTAATCCACAGAATTCTGAGAAACCAAAGTGACAATCCACAGGAACTGCATATGATGCTGCTCAGAAACCTAGGAAATGGGCTCATGGTTACCCTTTTGTCTGCCCTGTTTGTTAGATTTTTCAAGGACAAGGGCATAGAAAATAATCATAAAGCTCAGGCACAGTAAATAGCTGTTTCTTCACAGATTTAGATATCTAAGGAACTGAAGAATCAACATGTGTTCCCCAGTGTTTCTGCACTGGCACTGTAAGGACAAAGGCTAATGACCTGTACCCATGAGCTCCTTGTTCTTTAAAATAATCTTGTTAAAACAACAGTCACTACAAGAAAAAACAGCTGTGACATGGTCCCATTGCAACAGGTTGTGACAGACATCTGAGCAAAGAAATTCAGTGGCCTGGCCCTTGGGCCTGCCTGCTGAAGAAGGTCTGTGTTTGTCTCAACACAACATCCAGGAGGAAGCTTCCTGGCAGGTCAAGCCAACACAGCCCAACTGTCTGGGTTTGCCAAAACCTGTCCCAAACACACCTCCAAAGGAGGGCAGCTGCTCAGCAAAGCCCAGGCAGGGACTGGCTGTGGCAGCCACGCAGACAGATGGACCCAGCTGCCCCCAGCCCCGTTTGCTGCCCAGCTCCACCAAGCAACCAGCACGACTGCCACTGGACAGCTTCTAAAGCAGCAGTGAAAGCACCTTCCACTGAGCAGAGGCTCACTGAGAGGGCCTGGGAAGCAAGGATCAGTAGCCAAAGTGCTCATCACTTTGAAGTTGAGAGCAACTTCTTCCTGCCCTAGGAAACGTTCTCTGCTGCTATAATATTCTCGAGCAAAACATCTTCTGAATCTTGCAGAAATGTTGTCTGGCACCCTGCAATCAAACAGGCAAGTGCTTCACCCCACAGCTTAGCTGGCTTCTCTCTCAGCCATCACCTTAGTAGCTGCATGTCTACAGTTAAGATGCTTCCTCACTCCCATTTTCATAGACTATGTTTGAAACTTGGTTCATAAAACATCAAACCCTCAAGTGACGCTTGGGCCTCCCGTTTTAAGCACTAATGACAAGGGTATGCTTGAGATGAAGCACAAGAAAGAAGCCTAAAAAGCCAGAATGCACAGAGGATTCCCTGCTAGATGTTGAAAGAAAATGGCTGGAGCTACTAGGGTGACAGATTCTCATCTCAAAATAGATGCATACACCCACACCCCTCTTAAAAGGAATATTCACTGCTCAACTTTGTTCATTGCCAAGGGGGCTCAAAACAGTAAGTGATCCAAGTTAAAAATACCACTGACTGACAGGAAGAAAAAAAAGTTTAAAGCAGACAGAATGCTAGGTCGCCAGTCCAAGTTATCCATGAGCTACCACTGTCCAAAAGCCAAGCAAACCACATGTCAGAACAGGCACCTGAAGGATGGAGAGCAAGACCTGCTGGCACAAGTTTCATCTCACTATCATAGTTGTGAAAGCTCTGAAAACAGAGCACGCAGGCTTCAGCATGTCAGCCCCAGAGTACAAACCCCACTGCACCCTGAGACTTTGATAGCAAGCACAACCTAA